GGGGGGGGGTGAATGCGGAACTGAGCGGCGCGGCGGAAGCAGCGGGCTCGGCTGTGGTTGGGCAGTGGTTAGGATGTGGCAGCCTGCTCCCGGTGCAGGCTACACCCAGGCCGCCTGTCAGTTGCACCACACTACATACAGAACAACATCTCCTCTGAATCACAGCTGTGAGGCGCTAGTGGGTTTGCTGGAAGAGAGAGACATCACGGCGGATGACTGAACGACAGCAGGCGGTTATGTCGGTCGTGTCGGTACACTCGTACCAGTAAACCAGACCCGTATCATCTCGTTTCCGCTTAAATGAACGATCAAACATCCCCGTTACATTTGGTACTCACTTTGCTCTTGACCTCCACCACGCTGTCTGTGACTTTTAACGGCGTACGCTGCTGCTGCTGCTGCTGCTGCTGCTGCCGCCTTGACATTCTGCTCCCCGGCTGGCTGCTTGGCTGAGGCACTGCGGATAAAACCATCCACCAGAATTCTGCTTGTTGTTCGCTCCTCTGTCGTCGGGTAAAATAAAAAAAAACATTCAGAACGTAAAACAGGTGGCGGGAGCTGGTGCGCTTGTTATTTTCATGTCGACACAGACAGCTCTCGCTCCAGCGTGTGTCTCGTACAGTCCGGTGTCAGAGTGGCTGTGTTCTCTTTTTGCGACAAAGACACTAAACAACAGAGCGCCAGCTCGCGACAGGTGGAGTCCGGTAAATCCAGTCTGGAATGTGAGGTGCCAGTGTAACCCGTTCTACTCCTCCCACCTGCCCGGACTGGACGGCACAACCAGGGGGCGGGACATACCGCTGTTACTGTACGTTCCTTCTCAGGGTTGGGTCAGACTATTTTCAAACCTTGTCACTCAGAAGAAAGAGCACGCCAACGTATGTGATTAACAACACAATGCACTGGATTAGAAAAACAAAATGTGATCTTACGTGAATACTTTTGGATTACTTCCAAATCAAATGTAGAAAATGTGCACAACCTGAAATATCATTTTTTCTCAAAAAATCTCAACCATTTTCAATGCAAATAAAATGCTTTTAGCATATTCAGCATTTGCATGTTGACTGATGAGTCACCAGTACCATTATCTATCATACTACAATGCATGCAAATAATTGGATGAGCACTGCAGGAACAAACATGTTGCAGGAAAAGCTAAACTTAAAGGTCGAGTGTGTAAGATTGAGGTGAAAGGGATCTACTGGCAGAAATTTTATGTAGAATAATCCTCATGATGTTTTCACTAGTTCATTTCATCTAAATTGTATGAATTATACTTTTCTTTACCCCACAAAAGGTCCTTTATATTTAAATACATCGAGGGGACCCTCTCTACGGAGAGACTGGACAAACTAAACCTTTTGAGTTTTTATGACAACAAAGGCTACAACGGATTCTTTTTCATGTTTGGAAGGAGAGGGTGAGGTGAGCTGCAACATGAAATTTAAACACTAGATATCACAAAATTCTACAAACTGTACCTTTAAGTTCAACTCAACTCTGCTATCTAAGAGGAAGCCCACGTTTCTTCAGATTTGAAGTTGATGAGTGAACTGAACCCCAAACCTCCTCATGGGTGTAAAATGGACTGCATTAGCATAGTATGTGGTCTTGTTGACCATTGCAGGTCACATTTATCTATTCACAAACACACACACACTCATATAGTGTAGTTTCTTTACATAACACTTTTCTGACACACAGCTATGGTACATCATCAAGGGCAAATGAGGGTATCAACATGTGGACTGGAGGAGCTATGGTTTATACTAAACACAGATCAGTTGCCCCAACCTCAAAGAGACTAAATGTTTTAGGACTGTCACTCCACACTATGCTCAGCTTTCATAGAATAGGCTACCATTGTCCATAAAGAAACACGGGTGCAAACCGTTTGGGCAAAGCACCGCGACATGCAGACATTAGCTATACACCAACCAGCGCCACCAATTTTCTGGCACAGAATCTGGTTCTGGCTCTGCAAAAGGAGGCTTCAGTGCAGAAACTACAAGATGATGGGATGAAAAAAAGTGTGTGGTGAACCAATCCAAGCTGAAAGAACTTGAAATGAAATTATAAAATCAACATGGCTGTATCATTTCTGATCAGAAACTATTATACTCTAGGTTTCAGAAGTAACCAACTAGTGGCAATGGAGGTTATTGGGTTCCAGAGGGGGCTGAACAACTATGAAAATAAGAAGTTTTTATCATACTGTATGAAACACCTTCAACAGGCTGTTCAAAAGTGGAGTCATAATTGTCTAATTGTCGTAAATTGAACATTCCCTTGTGGCATTGGTGTGTTTTTACAGAAGTATAGTCTGATTATGTCCTGTGTCTCCTTGAATCGAATGTGATAACTGTCAGGGGTAAGGTACTTCCTTCTGGTGGCAGTGACGATGCAGCTAGTCAATACTAATTTATTGCTACAACCAGGGTGCTCTCCTTTCAGTGCCTAGTCCAGCATGCTAGCCACAAGCCTGCACTGGCAGGTCAAGTTTGTATGTGAATATTATGAAGCCAAAATATCTTACATAACAGTAATTACTCATTAATTAAATAACATTTCTGGGTGAATAAATTACACACACGTAATGTATGTTTTCAAAAGTGAAAACATGTTTTATATAGTAAAAAATTAAAGTACATTTCCTTTTTCCTGGTCTTTTACATCTTCAGTTGATTTCTCATCCACAATCCCATTCTTCAACACCTCTTTCCCTACATCTTTTTTCTCCCCCTCCACTCCTCCTTTGACCTTACCACACCTCTTCCATCTTCCATTCTCACCCTACCCTCAGTGATGATGGAATGTACATAGAAATGTGAGGAGAGTATAATATGGACTTGGACTCTGTCATTTGAGTCTCAATTTTGTTCCACTGTGATGCTTCAAGACACACCGACAGTGGAAATGTAAAGGCAACTTCAAGAGGAAATGTTCATCTTCTGGACCTTTGTAGTTTATGTGCAGGTCTGGCTATCAGTCCATGAACTAACCCATACTGCAAACTTTCCACAAAGTTCATCACTTTGTTTAATAGGACTGAACATTCAAGTAACTAAAATGCCTGAAATATCTTTGTGATTATTAAAATAAAACAAACTAAGGGGCAGACACAGGAGTCAACAGATGAAACTCAAACTGGTCAGGGAAAACAATGCAGGGTCAGAAATACAGACAGTGACAAAGCAGATGACTCAATAAAGACAGAGCTGAGGAGTAGACCTTTATACACACTAAACTAATGATAACTGGAAACAGGTAGTACAGACATAGCAGGTAAAACTAATCAACACTGGAAAGAAACACAACGGCAGGAAATAAACTAAGCTGAGACACACAAGGGAACTGCAAAATAAAACATGAAACACTAAACTAAAACTGATAACCATGACCGATACTGTGGATGTATTTTGGGTGAGGTTAGTATTCATAGTTGCAGGTACACCTTGCACATTACATGGCAGCATAATGTCTGTAATTAAACCATTCTAAATAAATAGACAAAATTTGAAGAATCCTGAATGGATAAACTCTTTCTGTAGCAGTATTTGAAATTGTATCTGTATCCAATAGGTAAAAATATAACTTTTTTTTGCCCTTGTTGCATGAGGCAGAAACAGTTTCTGCATATTTTGCAATTTTTGGGGGAATTGTGTTTGCTTGGCTTCAGGGACAGGTATGAATGTTGTTGAATATGGGAATGTGAATTCTTTAGGGGGTTGCATGTATTTATGGTAAGTGGTAGAGATACATAGATTGGCTCTGATGTCTTCTTAATCTGCATGTATGCTTAACTCATCTAACCCCCTAACCCTAACCCACCCAAAGAAATAATTTTTTCTAATTCGGAGACCCACACATGCATGAAGATTCCCCAAATAAAACTGCATCCACTGTACCAGGATTCAGGCGACTCTGCCACGCCTCAATGATGTGCCCAGCTGCACTGAATGAGCACTCACTCACAGCATCTGTTTCAGGAATGTTCAAGATTCTCTTTGCAAGGTGCTGCAGCTGTGGGAATGAGTGGAATTGTGTCTTCCATAAAGAAAGCCAATCGTCTAATTGGCCTATTTCACCCACTCAAACCCATCCACAATTAATCAGAAATGTTCATTTTTATGACCCTAACCACCTGGCCTGTGGATCAACTGTGATGTCTTCATATATAACTGCAATCCACATATCACTAGTAAGTAGAGATATTGATAGTTGAGCCAGACTGTGTTGTGTAGCTTCAGTAGAAGGGTCATGATTAGGAAACATGCATTGAAAATATTTAGACTGGCAAATATTAAATATTCATTCTATATCAAAATGCACACAAGCAAAAAGAGGACCTTTAAACAGTGCACAATAAGTTATTGGTGCTATCCATTATGGAGGGAGTGGTTTTTAAATGAAATCATATGACACTGATTTTTATCTTTTTTGATTGTTGCAGTATTACAGCATTTCCCTAAAAACATAACATTACAGGATTAATCCAAGAGGGGAAAAGTGTGCTTAATAAATTTCAAGGTAATCTTGCAATATATCAATTAATTTTTGTGGAGTAAAATTTTGGGAGTCACCAGTATAATTATAAATTATCCTTTGGACAACCTCAACACATAACAAGACAGTTAATCAATCACATTTTATTTGTATAGCCACTATTCACAAATCACTTTGTCATTTGTCTCATAGGGCGGGCTTTAACAAGCTGTGACATCCTCTGCCCTTAACCCTCAACAAGAGTAAGGAAAAAATGACCAAAAAACCCTTTAAACAGGGAAAGAACCTAGAAACCTCAGAGAGAGACACATGTGAGGGATCCCTCTCGCAGGATGGACAGAAGTGCAATAGATGCCATGTGTAATGGAGAACATCAGAGAAATAAGAATAATTACAGCATTGGTTAGAGTAAATAGTTTGTAGCATGATGGAAGGTAAATGAATTGAGGAATTATTGTCAGTAATGGTGGAGTATCTGATTAGACATATTGTACATCAAGCAGTCTTGTTGTAATCATAGTCCATGATCAGCAGCCACTACGATTAGGATACACCATCATAATCCATCATTTTGATCGACTGCCACCATTAGGATCCCGCCACCATCGGTATGATGGTGGCATATTATTATGGGCCTTGTAGGTTAGAAGGAGAATTTAAATTCTATTCTCGATTTTGTAATGAAGCTAATACAGGAAATATGTGGTCCTGCTTCTTGTAAGGACACATGCTGCAGCATTTTGGACAAGCTGCAGGGTCTTTAACGACTTACTGCTAGAGCCTGATAATAATTTTTATTCATGTATTATATAATTAACAATAATCAAGTCTGGATGTGACAAAGGCATGGATTAGTGTTTCTTCAGGAAAAGACAAGCTTGGACCAGCTCTTACTATAAGCTTTATCATAAAGGAAGGCTACTGATAAACTGAACCAAACTGAAACTGGCAGATGATTCCACAGGAGAGGAGCTTGATAGCTGAAAGCTCAGGCTCCTACTCTGAGCATTTTGGACAAGCTGTAGGTTATTTAACGACTTACTGCTGGTGCATGATAATAAGGAATTACAATAATCAAGTCTGGATGTGACAAAGGCAAGGACTAGTTTTTCTGCATCTTTTTGAGACAGGACCTGTCTGATTTTTCAGATATTACGTAAGTGACAGAATGCAGTCCTAGAAATTTGTTTTAA